GGGGGGGGGGCACAATCATCTGAGCTTGAGGTCAACTTGGCTGGTACATTTCAGGTTTGGGGTTTAGGGTTTAGGGTTTAGGGTTTAGGATGTTCCTGGTTGAGCCCATTGCAATCTCAATGATTGTGAAATGATTTTGCCTTGACCATGGATTTGAACGATAATGAACATTGAGTAGTGCACTTTTCCACAAACCACTATGGTCGTCTTTGCCACGCAGCCCTTAGGGGCGCTGATGGTGCCAAGGCGTCAAGAATGCACTTGTGCAAATTGAGCACTGGCTCTGGAACTATTCTCTCATCCCTGACTGTCAGCCAGGGTAGTGCACATGGTTCGGAGGTTTGATGGAAGTAGTCTTCGCAAAGTCGTCGCAAGTACTGTGAGGCTGGAGTGTATGATGGACCATAGTATTGTTCTACAGTCGTGGCGAGTTTCCTCCAGTCACCTTTCACATCAGCAGATACGTTTCGAAGAGAGTGTTTTCCTTCAGGGAGATCAGCAACTCGATCTGCAGCAGCTTTGGTGAGAACCAACAGCGGTCTCTGACCAAGGTCCTCTTCGCAAATGTACTTCTTCACCAAGCAAAAAATGTCCTGGCTGCTTGGTGCATTCCGGTTGGAGCCACGATCGGCTGCATTCTGAAGTGCATCAGGAAGGTCTAGCAGGGCAGCAAAGAGATTGAAGATCATGATGCTTCATGTTTGCATCAACTGCATCAACGATACATTGAAAGACTCTTGCACTGTGCCTTTCGCTTGCATAGACATGAAGAAGTGGTTGGCCGTTGCGTCCTCCAACAACCCACCACTAAGCCCCACTCCGATCTTCATCATTTCATCTCGCCATGGGCGATATACCTTGTTTTCAATGAATTCAATCCAAAGATAACATGCACAGCTTGGAGCAAAGAACCCAAAGCGCAGCTTGGACCAAAGAACCCAAAGTGCAATTTAAAAAAAAGCAGAGTCCAAGACTGAATTTGACAAAGCACGTTCAGCTTGAGGACTCTGATGTCGGTGTTGTTGCCGACCCAGTTTCTGAGGCCCGGTTTCGAGCATTCACTGCGCAAGATGCTCAGCATATCCTGCCATGGCCATTCATCAAAAAAATCATGCCTTTGGGAGCCTGACACTCATGAAGTCATGAACTGTAATGAACTGGCCTGATCGGTCAACATTCTGTCAGAGTTGGACAGTCTTCTGCTCAAGCATCCCCACAGCTGATCTGCAGTGCAGGTTTCTAGGAACACATGAAACGCACAGGCCGCATATGACAGGTTGTGGTTGAGTTTGACAACATGTATACATCTGACTGTTTGTGGCTGAATGTGACTTGACATACTGATGCTCGCGAACTCAATCGTAATGTAGCTGTGGCCTATTCTGTCGTGGGAATGGCTTTTGCGTGGCATTGCCAAAGTCGCTGTGCGGAAACGGCCCCTGAGACATTGAAGATGCATCCACGAGAGGACAAACCTGTTCTTGGCCTCCCTTACAGTGTTGTCGGCCTCAGATATTTGGGCCACTTCAGCTATTCGGTTCACAACTCTCAGCAACCAGGGTTGCATCAAACTGCACACAACATCACATTTCAACCAAGGTGCCACCACAACGAGGTGTCGTGGCCGACAAGTTCCGGTCCTGTCACATTTGTCAAATGCCTCGGCTGAAGGAAAGTGTGCAAACACGTCACTGTGTACCAACATGCAGTTGGAAGTGTGTTGGTGGGTGAACCATCAATGCACTAAAATCTAAATGGATGTTTCAAGAAAATGGCCAGAAGCTAAGAGGAACATTACCAATGAACAAAGACAGGAAGGCTGAAAGTCATATTAGGCAAAGTTGCATACTGGATTGATTGAGCCAGTATTTCTATTATACAGCTGGCGTCGTGTTTGCTGGTTTCGTCAATGCAGTGCAGATCGAGTGAATACCCGAAGTTCCATGCCCCGTGCAGCTTCATCCGGGGCTTTTGTAGCTTGGACCTGAGTCACAGTCGAATCCTTCACATTCATTCACCATTACAACAACCTTCACTTTCACAGTCAGAGCAGAAAATGTATCTCGCAACAGGATCAAAACCAAGCAACGTTGCTGAGGCCGTTTTCAATCCGCGACTTCTTGGGACTTGGAACTTTGATTGTTCCATTCCGTCTATCCAAATGCACATCAGGTCTCCCTCTCTTGCGTAAGAAAGGTCACAAAGCTGCCACAACAGACTTCGGTCTGTGTACTGAGACCGCAAGTGATTGCGGTAGGATTTCACACATCCAAGTTTTTCTGCCAATGGTGTTGCAGGATCGTGCAGCTGAGCTTTGAACTGTTCGCAAATGTCACATACAGTGAACCTGAACAAAAGTACACTGGAATGAACTAGAAAGTAAGTAGCCGCTTGCAAATCAAAGGCCACAGTCCAAATCAAAGCGCAATCAGTACACAAAGGCAAGCAGCATAGTCTTTGCACGGAAGCCCAGTGCAGATTTCCATTCCTGCTGGTAAACACGGCGAAATGTGCTGTACCTTGCACGGCAGTTGCAGGGGTCAATACAGTTGAACAGTTGAACTTAGGCAAATACAGCCAAATGACGAAGCAGGTGAAATTCCAAGCATTGATTGCACCACTTGGTAGTGATCATACAACTCTGTCAGGTTTCCGGGAGGAAGAAATCGTTGGACCAGATTGCTGCTGTTGAGAGCAATGCTGTGCAAAGGACCATCTGTGGCTTTGTCGAGCCAGGCAAACAAATCTGCATCATCGTTTTGCTCTTCCTCTCCGTCAGCCTCGTAAAAACTTGAGTCATCAGTATCATATTGAAATTGTTTGTGGCCATGAGTTGTTCTCTTGCGCTTTCGTCGTATGAAGCGGTCCGGGAGTGATTCAGCAACCTTGTAGTACATAGATTGGAAGAAACTCCGACAAGAATCACTCTCTGCGGAGGTCGGTCTCTCCTGCTTCCCGTGCCGGAGATCCGGCACAGTGTTTTCTGCCTTCTTCAATCTCTCTGTTCCAATGCCCAGGATGGTCACCAAACACTTTCCTGAAAAAAAGATCTGAGCCCATATAGGCTCAACATGAGCAATTCAATTGATCACATAGCTGCAACCAGTAAGCTTTGGACGGCTCTTGACGTGGCAATCAGCAACACTCATGTGGTCAACATCGACCTGGCCCTTTCCATTGAAGCTGCTTGTCAACTTAGCCACACACAGCGCACTTCAAATTTCAATCTACAAACAACTGCGTCCAATGAAAAAGCAAAAAGAGGACAGGTGGACGGAGCTTGGACTAAGGTTCCCACCAAATGGTCCTGTTCATTTTTGTTCAAAGACCAAAACTCTGTGAGAAACTTGAGCAGGTCTTTGCTCTTGCGCTCGAACTGGGTAAAGCAGGTTTTGTTTGCACCTTATTGCAAGAAGTCACGGCTGGTGTTTCTGGAAGGGGGACTCACAGCTGAACACTGCAACATGTTTGTGGGACAAGGCACACGAGCAAGTCCTTTTGACCAAGGACAAAATGCGATCATGGCTGCGACCACTTGTTCCAAACACATCACTCTTTTGTCTCTTTCCTGATGCATCTGCTGAGGCAGCTCTCTTTGCGTTATTGTAAGTTCTCTTTCTTTTGAGCCGTTCTTCCTCGGCTACCTCCTTGGCATGCCTGTCCCAAGCTGTTGTTTTGACAAATGTGTGCAGGCTGCTCCAGCCCAAGCTAAATACAGGATCTGGTTGCTCACATTCAGCTTCAGATCCTTCCAATTCACTCTCAGATATCTCATCCTGAAAAGGGCGTTTGAGGCCAGCAGCATTCCGTTTAGCTGGTCGGGTCTCTACTTCTTCGCCTTCAATCCCAAATGGTTTGGGCTTCAGTCGCCTGAACAGCGGGACTGCATTCTTTTCAGCACCTTCTTTTTGGAAAGGTGGCATCAGTGCCAGCTTGAGCCAGCGTCCATGAATGTCCTGAACCAGTATGAACGATTGTGAGCAGGTGAAAGGTGAACACATACCAAATGTTTGTGAACAATGTGTGATTATCACGTTTGAATGTGAGAGGTTTTAGCTGGCACTGTGTCAAGGGCGACTTTTTGACCAACGGCATCACTTAATGAACCTCAGATCGAAATCAGATCTTCGGCTGCAAAGCTAGCACTGCCACCAACATGGCAAAGGCCACAGCAGGCACACACATGCCGTTTCCAGCAGCGTGCTCCAAAGCAGTGTGTGGAATACCACGCAAATCCATCACATCCTTGATTGGAAAGTGCAGACTGGTTTGGTGAATCTGCAGCTTTGAGGCCCCGGCCACTCCGGACACAGCAGCAGCTGGCCCCCAGCTTGGAAGCCCCAAGCTTAGCAGGAGCTCTTGGGACGTCATCAAGCGACCTTTTTCTTCGCTCCTGAAGCAGAAGT